ACCTCTTTTTATTTTATTTTTTAGCCATGTTTATTGTAAAATAAAAATAAAATAAAAAAAATTATTGCTTTTTAAAATTTTAATTTGACTACATAATTAATTAAAGTAAATCTAAAATATTTTGATCAGCAAATTTGTTACTATAATAAGCAATGATCGTTTAGATATATTTGATATATTCCCTGACTGTAATAGTATTATACAAATTAGTAAAATTTCCTGAGGGTTCAGGTTACGATATTGAAATATCATGATCAACACTTGGTGATGCTTTCAACTCCTTAATAAGCTTTTCAGTATAGGTAACTCATGTAATATGCATTTTGCTTTTTTCTGCTAGAGGTATTCTCCACACTTAGTCATTTACCAGATTCATTCAGGTTGTAGAAGTCGTAACTTTATCATCATTAAAATCTTGTGAAAGCAATAACGGATTTCTATCATTACTCACACATGAGCAATATAATGCTCCTCTCTTATCAGGTTTGTTCGCATAAATCTGATGGATCACGTCACTACATACATTTAAAACGAGCGATCTAGGTAGTATTCTGAAAAAATAGGTATATCACAATCTCCACATAGTCCATTATCAGAAATAGCTTCGTTTAATTTAAATGATGAAAAATCTGACTCTTCATGAAGAATAACCCCTGGGAGATATTATTTCATTTCAATATATTTATAGCAAAATTTTTTAGACCTGTTACGTTCTGATTGTACATTATAAATGTTATAGCTTTGAATATCATAGCTTTGAGCGAAGGTATTTATGATATCCTTCACATTGATGTCCTTCATACCCTTTATATTGATATTTTCAGCAGTAAGCGGATTTTGGACTTCTGTATTAGCTGAGCTTTTCATAACTTGCCCACTTATCATTAACGTAATCAGAAAAAAATAGCTATCTTACTGGCTAAAGGTTTTTTATAGCATTTATAAATTTCGTTGCTTTATTAATACTTGCAAAAAATATGAGACTTTGTCTTTAGTACATGACGTTACTATACTAATAATTTTTATAATTATTTTTTCAAACGATAACCCTCTATTCTAGCTTTAGACTATTGGTTAATTAATACTGAGGAGTTAATAGAACTCTACCATCCACCAATATACAAAGATAGGTTCTTCGACCCTTAACATCAACTGAGCTATTCAGTTGCCAAAGATGACTAGATTGCCATTGCTTTGAGCATCTGCTCTATTTTATCATCTGATCTTTCACAATTCTCCTTCTTAGCTATTTGATAATAAAGTTTATATAATTCCTCTAGGCTGATACACAGATTATTATCTGCATATCTTTTGTAATAATTTTCTAGCCTTAGAGTGTATGCCTCTTCGTTGAGAAACATCTTGACTACGACTGTCTTAATATAGTCATTCAGATTCTTTTTAGCTTGCAATTTCTTTAGATAGTCTCCATAGTTTTTTGCAAAATTATCATATTTTTTGCTCTTTCTCAATGCAGTTTTTATGACTTTGACTTGCGCAAGTTTTATATCCTTATGATCGACCATTTTTTATTGTTTCTATTATAACGATAGAAAAACTTTAATTAATAAAATTATATTTTTTGATAATTTTTACTCTCAGAAAAATATTTGTTATAAAGCATCTATTCCTTGACTCAAAGTCTAACTTTCATAGCCTTTCTTCTGCTTTCTCAGAAGATATTTCAGGATGTTACCAGGCATTTATATAATCCAATTCGCTAATATCCATATGGAAGAGTTCAAATTCTATCAAGTAAGATCTAGCACTTATTATCATATGGATTCAACCCTATCTTTTCTCTCCAGATATATTTGATGATTATAACTTCAGAGATCATATATATCATGCTGGGTTAGTTTCTTGTTCCTAAGATATTCTAGAAATTTGTCATATTGAAGTTCTCTTTTGATCACGCATTTCTTTACACCCTTTGCCTTTTAGATACCATACTTTTTTTCCCAATACTTTACATCCTGAGATTTTCTAAATTCTTCTTCTTCTAACTCTTTTTTGAAATCTGCATCTGTTTCAGAAGTTTTAAAATCATGAACTCTGAAAGAACTGAATATATTTTTGGCTTTAAGCATATTGATTTACCTATTGGATTCCTTTTTGTCTCATCTTTCATTAAAAACAAATCTCCTAAATAGTTAAGATCAAAAATGTCTGGTCTTTCTGCTCGATCTTTATAGATATTCTCAGTTTCTATTCACATGATAAGCGAGTCTGTATCTGTATAAAGTAGACAGGCTTTTTCTTTATAGTAAGGTTTTATATAACTATACTAAAAGTTGAATATCATGGCTTTGATAATGTTAAGAATTGCCTACCTTACATAGATTGGTTTATTTAAAGTTACTATGCTCTTTAATATGTAGATTGCTGTAATCCCTCTTTCAAATATTTTAAAGCCTATATATAATAGTGAACTTGCTAAATGCTTAATTTTTTTATCCTCTTCTATTCAGAGTAATTCTACTCTTATATGTTTACAAATATTTTTCATTTGTTTACTAAAGATTGCATTATTCTTTACCTTATCCCAAACTTATTCTCATTAGCTTTAGCAATTTTACGCTTGCAAATATTTTTCTCAATATAGTCTTTCATCTATAGAGACTGCTAAAATTTAAGAGCATCATGAATCTTTATAACCTTCATCCTGAACTTCATATATATCTGAAGAGTTCAATAATAAATCACATAATTCTTTTTAAGATAAAGAGTTTAGATAAGCTTTTCTTCTATTGTATATTTTCTACCCAAACTTCTTTATCATATACTAATTTTTCATTATATAAGCTAAGTCATTTTTCTGAAATTATCTGCTTTTCTAACGCTAAGGAATAATCTGCAAAGTAGTCATGTAAATATACTGAGACTTCTAGATTAACTTCAAGTATATAACCTATTTCTGCATCTGATACTATGCTTTGGATATCTGGTATTTTTTCTGATGCTACTTTACCTAAAATTTCTGTAGACATATATTAGATCATTGCATCTGAATATAAAGTATTCATATCCTTATATATGATCCAAAAATTTGACTTGTTAGGGTTATAATCAGGACAATACGAATTATTTGCTTTGGCATATTGATGATTTACTATTGTCATACCTTCACGAATGCAAATTTCTACCATTAAATATTCATCCATATTTGTCATGAATTTGAGTTTTACCCTGCTACTTTTGTAAAAAGAATCATTAAACATTTCAGATGTTGAAACATAATGAGAGAGATCTAAGCTGTCATCTTTCAAGCACATAATAGTGTAGTTTATGAAAACATCTGCAAGTAAAAGTACATCTGTCTTAAGATAAAGATCATGATATTCTCTAAAGTTCTTCATCTCGAATATTTATCATACTTTTTAAGCATGTTTGTAATTCTCTTTACTAATATTTTTCTAACTAAGAAGTAAAAAGAAGTCTTTTCTAGACAAAAAGCTTATTCTGTCAAATTTTTTTCATGCATTTATCCAGTCGTATGAGAAAACGTCTTTTCAAAAAAAAAGCTTAATTTTATCTATTGAATAGCCTTTCTCAGTAAGGTACCTAACAGTTAGGGGGAATTTTTCAAGCTTTTCTTTTAGACATTTTACTAATTTATCTAATCCTATTCCTATATGCTGAAAGCTATCAAGAAATCAGAGCTGGCCAACATCTATAGCTTTGTACTTTTCTATATTCTCTGAAATGCATTTTAGCTTATCAGCCATAAACTTGCTAACAATTTTCATGAGCAAATAAGAGTCATAACCTTAGAAATTATGGCAAATAAGAGGTACTTTAGTTTCAAAAGAGCATATTCATAACTTTTTATTACAAAAATTATGAGCTAGGCTTTGATACTTTCCATTTATATGATTATGAACTTTTACTTTTCGATTAAATATACTTAAAACTTCTTGGTATCTTTTCTATATTTCTTTCTTTTTTGAATGTTCTTTTTTCATGCATGATTCTCATTCTTTAATTTCTAATAAATTATGCCTTGCTTTTTTGAGTTTTTGTACTATTTCTAGTACTGGTTTTAAAAAAGATCCCTTACAAATCTAGTATTCTATTGCCTAAAACTCTGAACGGTTTGGATTAATCTGAAAATTTTCAGTTCAGATCAACTTCGGTTCAGTTTTGGATTGCAAAAATTTCAATCCGAAAATTTTCGGTTCAGTTCAGATTTTTTTCGGATTATAAATCTAATCCGAACTGA